GTTCTTTTAATATCATAACCTCGTTGTTTAATTTTTTCTCTTAAATCATCTAATGTCAAACAAGGTCGAATAGTTGTCGATCGTCTTCGATCATCACTTGCTCCACCAGCTTTTGCAATTTCTTCAATTATTTGTAATAAATCAGGACATTGTTCTTCAACGCGAGGTCGACCAGTGCCAGGACGATAGAGTTTTTTTAATTGAGGATGTAGTTCAGGCTTTGTTTCAAATAAATGATCAACCTATAAATAATAAAACAGACAAAAAGAGGAAGAAACAAAAAAATAACGTTATTTACAATTTTTTTTCGTCTATCTTTATATCTAGTTGAAGCTCTGTTTCGATTGAAGACGTTTGATTTCAAAAGTTTTTGTTTGTCTATCTTTCATTAATTGTTTTAATTGTTTTCTATTTTCAGCTGTGAATAAACCCATTTGTTTAACTTGTACTAATGAAGCTATTCGATCACTAATAGCATTTAGTTCATTATAAGCACGTTCTTGTGCTGGTTGTCGTTTAGTTTTTGATAATGGTTCTAATGGAACTTTACCTACAGGTGGTAATTCTCGTAGATCTTCAATCAATTCTTCATCAAATGGTTTACATTTTTTAATACGATAATCTTTTTTATTTTTATTTTTTTCTTGATCATTGTTATCATCACCATCGTCATCTTGATCATCATCATGATCATCATGGAAATCGTCAAAATTATTCGGTTGTTCATCATCTTTTTTATTTTCATTATTATTTTGATTCGTTCTTTTATTTGTTTGATTTGTCTTGATTCTTTTTACTGGTCGATTACGATTAGTTTTTGATTGATTTGAATAATTAAGTAATGGTAGGCGTTCAAGACCTTGGTTTGAAGAGGCACGAAGTTCATTATATATTTCTAAATATTCCTCAATTTTTTCCTTGACATATTCTTCATTCCACTTTATTTCATTCCATTCAACTTGAGCATTATGGTGTTTTACCTATTTCAACAAAAACAAGTCTAATTATTTATTTTCGTTAACAAAAAACGAACTTACATCTCGTTTTTCATTGGGTCGAGCTTTCATATAAGCATCAACAAACGTTTTATAAAGACTTGGACCTTGAATTTGTTTTCTTGCTTTCGTAGGCATAACAAGCTATGTCAATCAACTAACAGAACACAAATAGTGACGCTCACCAACAATATATAAAAGAGAAAGAAAACGAACAAGACAAAAAAAATTACTACAAGTAGTAGAAGAAACTCGTTGACGACTTCTCTCACTCGCTCTGTATTGCTTATAGACGCTCACAAAATAGAGTAGCTGATAGACATTTTTCTTTATCAAGGCTTTTGACGATACGATACCATGTCTATTTAACTGAGAAGAACGCAAAAAAAAAACAAAAGATATATGAATAGACCAAATCATAGCAATATACAACTCATCATCAATCTTAGTAACAGTTAGAGCTTGCCAGATTGGTTCTAAACCCGATCAGATTCAGGTCTGATCCAAAATAGCTGCTACTCTAAAAGTAAAAACCAGATATAACCACATTCTTATACGATCGTCGTCAAGTTGCTCTGAGAAGTATGTAGAGCATGCCAGTTGCTAAATCTAAATAAGTTAAAAAAGTACATCATATCTGAGGAATGACTATTAAGACCGATTGAAAATTTGGATTGAGAATATTATGAATTTGAATCGGATCTAAAAAAATTCTAAATGAATCAAGTACAAAAATTTCCGAGTCGGCAGACTCTACTAGTAGTTCATATAAGGAAGGAAAGAAAAAGAAAATTTGGCCTCACAGCACAACTATACTGTCGTCATTCTTGATTTAAATTTAAAAAACCTCAATCAAGGAAAAACATTACGTAGTTTTTTTTTCTCTTTCGTATGTATGAATGTAATATTTATATCATTCTTTTTCTCTTCGCTTCATTAAAATACAAGTGAGTGTGTCTTTTTTTGCATAGAAGTAACCGAGCTTTCGGCCATCATTAATAATTTCATTAAATAAGGTTTTTCGTGAAAATTCTTTCATTTAATCTCGTTTGTTGGAAATATTTTTCCATGTAAAATGAGAAATGAAATTTTATTCTTTGTCTCTTGTATCTATTTAAAATATTAACATATCCGTTAGCACAAACACTTTCATTTACACAATAAACATACTTTTATTAATTAGGAATAAAATAAAAAATTAAAAAATTATCGATGCGTTGCTTTAAGTTAAAACGATTTTAGAAATTATAAAATATAAAAATTCATGCGACTTGCTATTATAATGGGCAATATATTTGAATAAAATTTGCTGTTCCATCCATATTAAGGCGAAAAAGACGGAAAGTATTGTGATCGATTTTTAATTCATTGATCATATTCGAGGAAACCAAGGCGAAACATTCTTTAATCACTAATATATGAAATGTAAACTACTGGGGTAGTTCTTCTCTTTACCCGCACCAACACCCACACTGCTTTATCAATTGGATCTGCAAGCTTTTCCTTACTCCCAGCGTGAAAGATTGATGAATCTCTCTTTCTATCCCAACTTTAAATCCAGTTCTTTCTCAATTTCTTTATTTTCTTGTCTTCCTCTAATATGTTGAACATCTATGTCCTTTTCCCTTCATGTGTTAATGTAAAATTATATATATACATTTATTTTTATTATATTGTTCTTAACTTGCCACCTTTTTCTCTTTCTTCTTTTCTTCTCTTCTTTACTTGTGAACCAACATATTATATGGCACAATAAATATAATGTTTAAAAAAATCATGTTTTGTGGCTCATATAAATGACATCTATCAACATTTTAAATTTTTATCACAAAAAGATTGATAATGTCAAATTAACTCATTTTACCAACGATGGCTGACAAAGTAAAGTTAATTGCTCGTTCAAAAAACATTAAAAAATAACTTTTTTTTTATTATATTTTATTGATAATGTCACAATATATGTATACTATTCTCGAACAAATAAATAGAATATTTTTCTGAAATTTATAATCATTGAGAAACTTTTTATTTCAAGTCATAAGAAAATTAGTCAAATTAATCAGTATGAATGTATCGTTTTCTGAAAATGTTTAACAATAGATCCAAAAGAAAAATTTTAAAATAATCGTTTTTATCGAAGCTTTATGCTGGTTATTGTGATTCACAAATAATTTATTGTAAGCAAAAACTTTATCTTGAAATGGTGCTTCATTAAAGAAAATCTATTCAATAAGAATTTCTTTGAAGTTATTGTCGATTTATCTTCGCTCGCTGCTAATAAATATGCCAAAAATCGATTTGATAATTGATTAATATCTTCCTATGAACGTTTTTCATTGACTTCTAATATTTTTTAAATATTGTTTTGATTCCGCATCATATAAAACTATAGTTTGAATTTGAGCAAATTCTTCCAGTACTATATCTCTTTTTTTCATTGTTATTAAAACTGGAAAGTGGGTGTTCTCTTCAATCATACATTCACACGCCCACCCCGTCGTATTCTTTTTTATAAATTCTTTAATCTTGCTCTCTATATATGTAACAGTTCTCTTTATCGGTATTTTTGTTTCCTGACGATTGTGAGAGTACTCACCGAAAGCTCGATATAAATAAAATGGAATTTTGAAAAAATTCAAAAATGTACTTCGTAGAAGTTATGTACTCAATTCTTCAATCATTGTTTTAAATACTTGTCGATCGTCAAAGTATGAGAAATATGATATCATGTCTGCTATCTGCTGTCATCATCATCAATCAACATATTTTACATGGTGCTGCTGAAAAAGTGAAACTGATCTTTGCAGATGATGGGTGTATGATCCCAAAAACAAAATCAAAAATCAAAACTATCAATCGACATTTGAAGCTAGAATTGTGTCTGTTGATTTAATAGAAGAATATTTTGTCAAACATAAAGCAAACCATTCTTGGAATGTAAATCCAAGTTTTCACGTTAAACTATCGACTCTCGGTAATATTAGGTGTTTAATATAGTTCGATCTTCAGTTCATGTAATTTTGCAGTCTTTACAGATTAGGATATGAATAAAAGTAGCATGTTAGCTACGTTCTGTAAATAAAATGCTTTTTGCTCTTGATTTGTTCAAAGTCTCATCTGGGCACACAAGTTGATAGCGGCAATACAGAATAAAAAATGGACACCAGTACGACATAATTTGTAATTGACTTTTTATAATATGATTTACTGTTTATTACTATCGATCGATCGAACGTAGAAGTCATTTCGTTTTGCTTCTATCACGTAACAGCTATGGTATTATTACCGTTTTTATATGTATTTGTTGCTTTTATCACGATAGTAATCGGAATCGTTTATTTCTAATTAATATATCCAGCAAAAAAAACTAAGTGATGCATTTCGTGCACAAGGCATCAGCAGTGAGCCATTCATACCATTACTTGGTCAAATGGTTGACTTCAATCATGCGCGTCATAATAATAATTACATCACTTATTTTTTGACGACTTAGGAGAAAAACATGGAACCATTTTTCGATTCTTTTTCGGCCCTCTTGCCTGCATTTTCATCAATTAACCTGATCTGATTGGTGATGTGCTTGGTCGAGCTAATGCACCGAATTATGAGAAACCAGCAGATGTTGTTGTAGCGTTAGAAAAACTATTTGGACGTCGAAACTTATTTCTGATGGAATGTAGTGAACATGATCGAACGCGTCGAATGATTAATCCAGCATTTCATTATGTGAATCTGCAATCAATGGTTTTCATAATTACTGATTGTACTGCAGAAGCCATAGAATCCATGATATGTAATGATATGAAATCAAAGTCGGTTGATTTACAAGTTTTATTCAATGCTTTGACAAAGTCGATTATAGCATCGAGTGCGTTTGGCACAGACTTCAAAAGAAATCCTCACGCAAGATATATTGTATGTCGAACATTTGCTCAAATACTTGAGATTAATGAAAATCGATGGATGATGATGAAGGAGAATCATTTACAGATGAAGAAATTAAAGAAGAATCTCTTGCTTTTATATTTGCCGGTAGTAAAACTTCTGGTAATCTACTGACATAATTGCTATATGTTTTGATGACGAACGAAAATATTCTAAAAGATGTTTGTGAAGAAGTTGATCAAGTTTTACCCAATCGCATAACACCTACGAATGAACATTTATCAGAATTAGTAGTATGTGCAGCAGTTATCAATGAAACACTTCGTCTTTATCCACCGGCACCATTGTTAGTACGTCACTATGTATGTGAGCATACCATCGGCAAGGAACATCAAATACGTATATCCCAAGGTGCAATTGCCGCTATGAATGCGCACACTGGAGGGCGGGGTGTGGGTGTGAATCTTGTTGAAATCACGTTTCGAACTCACACACACACACATTCTGCAGAGATATCATCAATAGGAGAGCAGAAACTACTCGGTGAAGATGTTTCTCACAATACATACAAACAACTTTTTTCAAAATTACGACGTAAAATCAATGAAGTCAATTTTGATTCACTAATGCAGGATGACCCAAAAGTCACGATGCTGAAAAACAATTAAATATCTTCATTACAGCTTGAGCAAATGAACTGATTGTTTTTATCAATGATAGAGGCATGTTCAAGCTTTATATCCATAAAGACATGCCTAGAGAGACTTTTTGTTAAGTATATTGTTTTATTTCCTATCTGTGAAAAAGTAAATTTTTTTAGTTGAGGTCGATAGTGGTACTTAACAAAGGGTCTCTGTAGGCATGTCTTTATGGATATAAAGCTTGAACATGCCTCTATCATTGATAAAAAGCTCAGCTCGTTTGTTCAAGCCGTAATGGAGATATTCGATTTTTTTTCGATATCGTGACTTTTGGGCCACCCTGTATGCAGCATCTTTTTAAAATGTACTAATTAAAAAATCTTCTCATAGTGCATCATAAATTTGTAAAGATCTGAGTTTGCAAGTTTCGAAAGTTGGCTTATCAGAGAACCTCACTGCCAATTTTTGATATTGATCTTTAAATGGACGTTTCTTTTAGAATAAATATCATTTGAATGAGATATAGGAACTTTCCTGTTATACCTCTTAAATTAGAACACAAACTCATCCAGATGCAATAAATGGCTTCATAAATGGTTTAAAACGGCAAAATTCAGCGTTATAACACCGCTGTTTTCGGTAGGTTCTTAAAATCAAGAAAATACTAGCACAAATGATCAGCATTTTCGTAGGAAAAGAGCAAAGTACAAAAAACGATTGATGGATTACGCCGAAATAAGATACAAAGCAGTGCCCGTAATACGGTGTATCCGTCCGTTTAAGAAGCTATCTTCGATCTATTTTCGCATACTTTAGACACCATCTTTATTCGATTTCAATGTCCTATTATATCCGTTTCCACATTTTTTGAGACGTTCCTTCTGATGACAGAAATAACTGACGAAGATGATTTATTTTAGTTCAAATATGATCAAAGAGTCTTCGTAAGGAAGGTAGAAAGTGGTTTATTCTTGTTGAAAGAAAAGTACTTTTAATTACGATTATTAAATTCGTACCAAATGACATTTACCGAACCTCTTCAATTAGAAATCCAGCTATGGCACTGATTGTTCAACGAAGCATCGTCCTACGGCGCCACTATTGTGGATGCTGGCGGAAGTATGCAATTTACCGACATCAATGTCTGCTTTTACTTATGTTCGAACTTTATCCTGCATGGCTTTTTTATGACTTTCATTTGTCGTTCAATTGAAATAGGTTTACTTAAAGAAAAAGGAAATGATCAAACAAGTCATGCAAATCTTTCTGACCGAAAGTCTTATATTGAAGATATAGATATGTTTATTGATAAATATTAAATCGAAAATATTTATCAATATTACAAAAACAAATCCTTTTAAACATAACTACCAATCTTCCTTTTTCTGCGGATGATCTTCATCGTCATCGGTGCATTCATTCTCTGTCCTTTTTCACTAGTTTTTTCAAAAACCAATCCCATCGAAGTGTGAGTTCATCCATTATGGAATCAAAATCAACTTTATTTCCTTTTCCTTCACATTTTCTCGGGCGAACAAATATCCATTCACCATCTTCAACCTCTGACAGATCTTCGTTATGAATTATCACTCTTCCTGTGCCTGCTTTCGCATTTTTGAGTGTTTTTATAATTTGTTTAGTCGTTTTCAACGTTATCATATTGATATAAACACTATGCTCTTTTTCTAAAGATGCGATATAACCATCTCTACCAATAAATCGGCTATGTTGTACTTTTTTTGCAGCTTCGTTTAGCGAATCGAGCTTTCTTTCATTTGCAAGTTTATATGGTAAATAGAGAAATCTTCCATTTTTAAATGCTTTTGATGAGTTACTGCTTCTGTTTCTTCTCAGCAAACGTCTTCGAGTATGCATACTTTGCTTTTCTTCAAGATCAGATGAATCATGATCAAGTTTTCTTATAGGTTTATCAACGGTTGATGATGATAATACGTATTTATGTGAAATCCTATTCTTTTTTATGAATTTTTTTAATCTGTACAATGATAGAAGAAGTTTAGAATCGTTTGTTTTATCTCGATCTATTTGATCAGTAAGAATTTTCAATTTCATTAATTTATTTTTGCGATCAATAGAAACACTGTTTGATGTTTGCTGGCCAACGTCATTGCATGTACAACATTGACGAGGCATATTTCGTAATTTACATACAGGTATACGATTTTGTTGTCGAAGTTCATTGACAACAGCATGAAATAAGGAACAATATCTTGAATTGTGTGCAAGACAAGCCATTATGTAAGAGAGAAAACGGATGAATCAAAAAAAAGCAAAAAGCACTGCAGTATATATAGAGGAGGAAGGATTGTGCAATAACAAAAAATAATTTCATCGTCATGTGGGATGTAGAATGAAAGAACGAATATTAGTCATGATATTTGTTAACATGTTTAGGGAAAAAATCCTCTTTCGGAGTTAATAAATATTGGTTTACTTCCGAATTAGTCGTAATGCGGAAATATTTTAGATTAGTTTTTAAAATGCTTTTGTTTTCGTTATTGGTTTGTATCAAAGTGATTATCGCCATCAGATAATTTTGGTATCGTATGTGAGAATGTTTTTGTGGATTTCTTTACTATGAAAACATTGTCTCTATTTACATTTAGTATGGCTGAATTAGGTATTTTGGCTTATATATGATTAAACATTAGATTGTTGTCATCAATCGATAAGTTCAACAATGGAATTAAGAACAATTATTCATTTGAATACAAAGAAGAAAAATGTATTTTTAGAAGTACAAGAAAATGTCTGTAAAATTGCTCTATACTACGCTTGTTTAAGAACGTAAAGTGATCGTTTTGCTTGTGAGTACATTCATTCATCAGTGAGAATGTATGCACTGATGAAGAAAGATTTGTAAGTGATTTGTATCTGCTTCAATGATATTTTGTCTATTTGTGACTGGCATTATGCTTAGAAAGATCTACTGCGAGTTCGACTTTATGTAATTTATTCCACAGCTATGGCTATTTCACTGATTTTGCTTGTTTACAGAAATCAAACAAAATATTTTCAATATGAAATCTTACTCAGACAAAATCTCATAATTATTGAAACACTACTGAAAGTACCAGTGGAAAATATGTTTGCTTTTGCATATCTCTTTTCGTATACTATTGTGTAACAATCTATTAAGTCAAGAATGATTTAACCTTGTTGTTTGCTATTTGCATATTTCAAGTGTTCTACAGAGTACAAGATCTAACTACGAGCAAAACTTCAGATTGGTATTGTGCTGTTTGATTTGTTTGTATATATTAAGTACTAGATGGAAAAAACAGCAAGATGATCATTATCTCTAAATTAAGCTTCACAGCTTTTTTAATTTTTCTCAGAATAATGACCCCAACATATGGACAGCAATAGCGTTGGAACCTATCTGGCAAATCCGGTCCGGTTCCATTTGACCGAGCCTATTGAGTTAGTTTGACCAACCTTTTTTGTCTTTTACAGAAAATTGTGCTAACTAATTATGCATTAATAACAGATTTCGCGTGTCTATTTAGTACATATTTCAAAAGAAAGACAGAGTACTATTGTCAATTTGAAATAAAAAATTCAAGTCTTTCGTTCTTGAGATTTCTTTTCAAATAAAATTTTCATTATTTAATGTTTATAATGTCTTAACAATCAGAATGTTTTCATGTATTGATCGTTTATTTTGTGCGTGTATGCGTCATATAGCTTGAGTTTTATATGTAATCAAATAATTTTTTATCGTATTTTTAACTTAAGTATTTTCTTTCACAAAAGAACACATTTTCTCGTGTTTATTTTGAACAGAATAATGGAAGAAAACTAAATGAAATATCGATTTTTGCGGCAAGGAACTTAATATCGTGCAAAATACACTCAATCTTAAAAGTTTTGGTTAGCTTGTTGATATTTAGAATTCTAATTTTAGCATTTTTGAAACGTGAGTGTGGATATGCGTGATTGTTGATGTTTCAATTTTCTTCAGACATACGCTCATATACACCCACACCCACTCTTTTTTACAATTGCCTATAAATAACTATA